ATGCGAAGTTGGGGACTTTTAGAAGTTTCGAACTTATATTCCTCCAGAATATCGGGAGCTTCAATAATGGTGTAGGACGAAGTCACCGGCGCCATATCTGTTTTCGGTGGAGTATCTGCAGGAGGCTGAAAAAGGTGTAAGAAAAAGGAAGGACGAAAAGCAGAGCACACAATAATCATGGAGGAAAAGTTAAGGTATATTTGTCTGTTACTGAAGTACTTATTAGGTAAGAACATACTAATGTGTTAAAAAAATAAGTGTGATCAAGGTGTGAGTGGATAAGGAACTGTGTAAATGAAGGTAGTTCAGAAGGAAGTGTGGAATTGTGTAATTATAAAATAAAGTGCTGAAAACAGTATTCCGATACAAATGACTGTCTCCCTTTACTTTAGAAGCTGTTTGAACTCTCTTTTTTTGTTTTTAGATTTTATAAGGTATAGAGTGGGCTTCGTTTTTAGCCAATTGTCTAGTTTGCTTGTAATTGGATTACTCGGTAGGAAGTGGAACCAATTCAGCTTTTTTTTAACATGATTTAAAGTGGTATTTTGCATGAATAATTTCACATCAATACCGTTGGTTCGTGACATTCCACTAGACATAAGGAGACGTAATTAATATGTTCTGCCCTACAGACACGGGTGGATTGAAGTTATCTCCCCACCATCATGTTTGCTTGTCAGTAATGCCACCCTCCCTCCTTTTATGATGTTAGGTTCTCTTACGTTTGTGGTCGGTATGAATATTGCTTTAATAAAGGACCATATTTGGAATACACTGTCTCTACAAGATCCATGTTACAAGCAAATCAGTTAGTAATATCATTTGTATTATGGGTTAGATATCCATTTAATATATCGTACTACTATGAAAATAACTAATGGTAAAGGTTATAAGAGACAAGTCAGATTATATGTGCTTAAGAGATGGTAAGGGCTAATAGCAAACCAGAGGATATGAAAGAGAATATTGTAAAATTTTCAGGGTAAGAAAAATAGAACATTGAACGACTCACAAAAATTTAGGACATACGAGCTTCTTTTCATCGGCCTTTGTAAGATCCAAACCTAAATTCCAATAGGTCTGGATGTGGTTGAATAACTATAGTAAAAGTTTAGAAACTCGTTTCAATGGAAATCAAAACAAAGTGTTTTCGGGTAATAACGAGTTTCTAAACTTTTACTGTAGTCATTCAACCACATCCAGACCTATTGGAATTTAGGTTTGGATCTTACAGTTTTAAACAAATATTACTACCCAGTTATTCAACTGACAATTGATACCAAAATATTCAATCGAAAACACCAAAAAGTAAGCGTTATTCTATCCTTTCTGGATAGATCAAGTAAGATTACGTTTGAGCGGCTGTTTTATAACACAAAGGGTTTCAATTTCTGGGAAAGTGCTCCAAATTACAACCAAAAATGCACGATCCCAGTCAAAATCAAACCGCACAATCAAATAGTGAGCAGTCAATATGGCAATTAAAACAAACTAGATACAGTTCAGTAAGAAACATAGAGACTCAATAAAAAACGATAGTGAAATCAAGAAAATTAAACGTTACAGTCTTAATTAGCATCAAAAATGTTAACAACATATACAAATAAACAAAACGCAAGGAAGAAATCACGAATGTATGCATGGAGGGATTTTCACTTTCAAAATGGATCCAAGAGCCTTAGTTGGTCAACATCCATAAGATTAGTGAGTTATCTGTCTACTTGTAATAAGAAAAATAAAAGGACATGACATTTATGAAGAATAATTTGGTTTTAACCATTAGAGAGATTCGGAAACTGAAAATGAGTGTTAGGAGCCGAAGGCCATGGTTAATAATCAATAAATAGTGGGGAAAGATAAAGCACGTTTTCTTTAGTTTTGCTATATTCATACTAACGACAATGGGGTTCGTTATATTCTTGTTCAGTCTAGATATTGGGCGGTCCATAATAAAGTGCCTCATCGGTAGGCGGGAGTTCAAGGAATAGTTGGTGAAGTTCTTTAGTAACAGGGTTACTAGCCTTTTTAAATTTGGTAAAGGTGTCACAGTTACGGATAGGTATTGGCAACCTTTTCCACAATAAACTATACGGAACTGTAAAAAACCTAAAACGCATTTTTTTGGTGTTTTTCGGTAAATAGTGTATATGCATTGTTTCTTAGTCTATAGGCTGGGTCATTGATCATAGTTGGGCAGGAGGTTAGGAATGACAGTCCATTTATTGCTTTGTAGAGAAATATCAGATTGTTCCTTATGTTGCGGCTCCTTACGTCAAGTGGAATGTCACGAACCAAGGATATTGATGCTCGTTTATTTATGCAAAATACGTTTTTAAATCACGTTTAAAACGTCGAGCTGGTTTCAATTCCTACCGAGTAACCATTCTACTACAAGCAAACTAGACAATCCGGTAAAATAGTAGCCTACTCAATACCCTATAAACGCTAAAAATAAAAAATGGGCTTCGTTAAAGAAGGGAGACAGCCATCTGTGTATCAGAATACCGTTTTCAGCACTATATTTTATAACCACACATAATCCCATATTTTCAAGCCTCTTTCTGAACCACCTACATTTATATGGCTCTTCATACACTCACACCTTGTTTACACCTATTTAATTTAACATATTAGAATAATTTTGCTCAATACGTACCTTAATAACAGAGGTATAGACTAAGTAGTTATACCTTAAATATTCATCCATGAACATTGTCTGCTCTGCTTCTCGTCCTTTATTTTTCTTACACCCTTTTACAGCCTTATTGAGATACGCTACCGAAAACTGATATGGAACGGGTGATTTCGCCCTGCACCACTATTAAAGCCTCAGATTTTCCAGAGGGTTATAAAGCTCAAGCTTTTAAAAGCCCCCAACTTCGCATGGATCTATTCTCGACCATTAGTTGCATGTCTCAACGCAACCTTCATAAAGTGCGTTAATTGTGATATTGACAATACGTTTCTTATTAAAACCATCTACATTCATGTCTTATACAATATCAACCCAGCTGAGTAATTTAATACAGAGAAAATTGTAACTTTTGTAACAATTTGATCTTGCCTGTAAACTAGTATGCCTCATGTAACAAACTGTTATTTGAGAATAAATTATTATTATTAAGATGAGAAACATGTGGAGTGCAGGTTGATTTCAGTCAAACAGAAAAAGTTCACCAGCAAACAGAGGAAAATGGGAAGCACATTACCTATACAAAATAAGGAAGTAAATTACTCCATATTCTAGTGGTAGTGAGCGTATTTCAATAGAACAACTCAACCACCTATCTTTTATAGGTACAAACACCTATGTTCTGTTGTAACAGGATGTCCTCAACTCCCCACGTGACCACAATGTTCAATAACTATAATGCGTTATTTGAAATAAAATGTGCGTATTTAGACAGAGACTGTACTAAGCACTCCCTGACACTAATCATAGGTAGCCTACTGTCCATTACTTTATGGGAACAAACGGATAATATCTTTTTACAGCTAACGTCTGCTTCATTGAAAAACCTTAATATCAGGCATCGTAGACGTCTGCTTATGAGCTTTGTGCGTTCTAGAACAAGATCGTCAATGGACCAGATTGATCTACAATGGCAAAGGTATACGGCCACACTAGACACAAATGAGGTTTGTGTAAATTTGTGGTAAATATGCCACACGTAGTGTCCTTATAATCGAATGATTACAACTCAGTCAAATCAGAAGTCAAAAATGAAGGGGATCGAAGATATATTAGGATATGTCTAGAAGTAATTGGTCTAATCTGTCTAGTAGTCTCAAGGGATGAGTAGCACGACATAACCATTCATGAACTGGTGCGGATGGGTGACCGAGTGCCTACAGCTGGAGTGTGCTCAATAAGACTAATGGGACATACAGAACTTATAGAACTACTTATTTTGAGGATTTATTTACCATCACAATAATCTTAGGTTAGGTCCGACTCTCGCTTGATTTTATCTCCCAGTGACGGATAAGGTCTCATATGAATGTCAGTACTAATTAGTAAGAGATGCCTTCATTTCTCCAACCCTAGAACCCCTGTGAACAGACCATGTAACCTGAGACATACTTTCCTAGGTTTTGCAGATTATAAAAAACTTGTCATATGCACAAAGGCAACAAGAGAAGACAAGCTACAGCACGAGAGAGAGCTTATCGAAAAATTTTCCTACAACCCGAAAGGCTTATTCCGTTATACAACTTCCCTTCAACAAGCCAAACTGGAGTTTCCCAACAGCTAGGTCCTAATAGCCCGACCAATAACGAAAGTGATGCCACTAACCTTTTGGCTGGTCAATACTCTCGGACGTTTCAACCGACCCATACCAACTATACTGATGAAAGCTTCATCTGCAACTGCACAGGACTTTACGAAGTGAACCTGAGCAACGACTTGGTGTTCCAAAAACATACTGGTGGCCTTTCTCTCTATACCTTCAAAAATTCTGGAATCCCTGATATGCGATGGTATACACGACTACTTATTACCCTTAAACTTCTCACCCCAACAGCATGGTTTCAGGAGGTAACCCTCTTATGGCTTACAGTATCTTTAACACTTCTGGTCATCTCCTTAAACATCTACTTAAGCTTAGTCATAATACTAACCTAAGGGGTAACACCCAGAAATTGGAGACTAAACATAGCAGAACGGACTGTAGACACAACTTCTACTCCTTAAGAGTTATCAAATGTTGGAATTCGCTGCCGACTGAGCTAGTCCAAGAGACTTCCCAGGAGTCCTTCAAGAGGAGAATTGACTTATTCTAAAGGACTAAGGATAACATCCTATAATTTACGAGTTTCTTTTTTTCTTCTATTATCGTCGATATACCTGGGTTCCTCCCTGGAGGTATTGGTGATCCACTGCTACCAGATGCGGAAGCCCGTTAAGCAAAAGCTTCTTCTATTCCGTCCACAACCTTGTGAACAATTTGAACTATTTATGTACAATAGACTTGGATAATCTGAAGGTTTATATGAATACTTCGCTGACCGGGATTTCGACATTTTGCGCTACTGTTTGAGGCTTCCCCATCTGTGGTAGCAATGTCCTCTCTAAACTCAAATACACTTCAAATCAAGTATATACATAATTCGTAAGTTCCGAATATCTATGGTTTTATTAACACTTTCATCCTCCTGCTCTGTAAAGTGTTGCAATGGTGACGAGCTGTCCGTTGTCAGCTAATCTGCAGGTCATTGACCAACAAGTCCGAGAATTGTGTAGTTTCACCAAAGATCAACCATTTACAATAAAATGGATCGACGAAGAACACGACCCTATCGTTATTTCCTCGGAAATTGAATTAAAAGAGGCGTTCCGACTTCACGAAGTAAATAAAGAATGGCAACTAACGGTTCATGGTAAGTTTCTCATGTGTACTTGTTTAAACATTAATTTGACTACTGTTTGGGTTTTGTACTATGTTTTCTGGTAAATTCAGCCACGGCCCTGCCATTGAGGTACATGCAATGAGTTGAGAACACTTTCAGTGATTAACTAACGTCAAATATACATCGTTTCAGTGTTTACATGGCAAAAATGTTATTGAAAAACTAAAATAGGCATTATCTTGATAATGTTTAGTGACTCGGGTGATGCTTGATAGGTTTCTATCTTTAAAAGCTTACTTGACAGTTGCGAAGTCTGTTTTTCTGATGTACTAGTTGTCCATCAATAAAGTCAAGACCGTAGTAGGTGATTTAGTTGATGCTTTCATTGTTGTATTTTCGGATCCTATTTTCCCCTTGTGTATGTTGAGGCCTATCAACTTTATCAAATGCTTTCTCATAGTCTTTCGGTAGAACTGACCAACAATGCCAGGATGTTTGGGATGCGTTTCTCCCCCTCCAAATTCAAATTTTCGCGTCTGAACTGACCTGCGTCAGCACCTAAACTAAAGATATGGAGTGAGTTAGCTGAGCGCGTCGATGGCTTCATTTATCTTGGAAGTCCGATCAATCCTATTGGGTTGGTGTCTGACGAAATCTCTACACGGATTCAAAAAGCTCGTTTGACTTATGCCAACTTACATCACCTATGGCGGTGATATATCCATCTGTCAATGAAATGACGAGTATACTTCACGGCAGTTCTTTCTGTTCCACTTTACGGCTGCGAAACGTGGCCATTAAGAATAGAAGATACTCGTAAGTTGCTAGAATTTGATCACAGATGTCTTAAAGATTTCGCTCGCATCTGATGGGATCACCAAGTAAGTAATAGTGAGGTTAAACATAGGGTATTAGGGAATGATGGTAAATCAGTTGATGAGGTTGTGAATCCTCACCAACTGAGATGGTTCGACCACGTTACGTATGCCTAAACACCGATTACCACGACGCGCTATGCTGACTAGTATTGTGGATGGTTGACAGAGAGTTAGGGTCGGTCAAACCAAAACATAGCATCAGTGTTTGAAGTCACTAACCTCTTGTCTGAGCCATGTTGGTAGATGCAGACTACTTGGTTGGGGTCTGCGTGACTACTGTAACCAATGGCTGGAAACTCTGTGTGGCATGACTGAGAATCGATCACAATGGCGTAGGTGTATGCACTCTTTGTCTCCCCTTAAATCGTGAGATCAAAGTTACTTTATATCTTTCTTTATACGAACTAATTCTTTCTTGTACCAGGCATTCATATGAAATCTTTTTTTACTGCTATTGAAGTAACTGCTTCTATAAATTTGGTGTTTATCTTGTTGTGCTTATGAGATGTGGGAACTTGAACCGATGCATTTATGTACCTGATCCTACGTTGTAGCTGACTGACTTTTCTCATAGTCAATGAAGTTGATGTTTAATGATGACTTCACGATTTTATTAGTTGCACATTAGTTGAACTGACGAAATATTTGACGATTCGCTGTTCATATTTACAAATTTATTAATTACATTTAACAATGATGTGATTATTTCTGTAAAATGTGTCACCCAGATGGACTCTCAAGTTCATTATATTGAACAAAAAAGTCAAAATTATCACTTATTACTGATTGCTGAAATAAATGGTCATAATCTTGATGTCAAAAGTGAATATTAAAGGACTATAAGTGAAATTTGTCTTGTTTCTAGTATGAGCAGGAATAGTATCGTCAATAGAATTCATCATTTCATTTATCATCGACTCCGTGTATCTAGGTAGCTATATAAGAGCTGGTGGCGGCGTGAGTGATGAGATTGATGCACGTATAATGAATGCCAGAGCGGCTTATGCCAATCTGGGCCATCTTTGGTGCCTTCGTGATGTTAGTCTGGCTGTAAACGATCGGATCTACAACGCGTCGGTGAGAGCAGTTTTGATCTATGCTTGTGAATCCTGGCCTCTCCGAGTTGAGGATGTTAGACGACTCTCTGTGTTCGATCATCGTTGTCTCCGAAGGATTGCTGACATCCAGTGGCAACACCATGTTGGTAACGCAGAGGTTCGGCATCGTGTGTTCGGGCGCAGAGACGATAATTCAATTGGTGTCACCATCTTGAAACACCGACTTCGGTGGCTCGGACATGTTTTACGAATGTCGTCCCAGAGGCTTCCACGTCGTGCATTATTTGCCGACCCTGGGACTGGTTGGAAAAAGCGGAGGAGGTCAGTGTATGACATGGTGTCGTGGCATGAAAGAAAGCTGCAAAGGGCTAGCTTCTGTTGGTCCTTCACGACTCCCTGGTTGGGGTCCGAGAGATGGTGCAACACAGTGGCTAGAGACGTTATCAGATATGGCTCAGAATAGAAGCCAGTGGCGATCCTGCTGCAACCTTCTTTTACTTTCCACATAAAGAATGGTTCTAACTTTTTTAACTGAAAGAGTTTTCTGGTTGTACATTTCAGTTCGCCTTATCTTTTCATTCCTTTCTCTTCCTACTTTCATTATTTTGTGTGGCGCATATGTACCTGGTGCCCTTTTGTACCAATATATATGTGTTTAAATAAAAATAAATAATAAGTGAAATAACCTGAACAAAATACACTTCTGAGTTTCGGCGAAACACTGGTGTTTAAAATCAATAATCTTAATAGAGACATGGAATTTCAGTTCGTTTGAGATTTCAAGTTTTGAAGTTTTTCCTGTAGTTCTAAACCTACAAATATCCCTCAGTACTTTGTGTATGATGTATTATCGCGGTGTCTGTTCGTAAATCATTTATAAAGTTTACCTGGGCTAATTCTAACTTCGCAGTTAAGTTTAATAAATTTCCTATTTACTTTGTTTTAGTATTTAATGGGGTTCCAAGTGAACCGGGTAAACCCTGTCCTGGCGAAGATAGTAAGTGTTTTTATTGTTAAGTGCATATGAAAGTATTTACTTTTCATAATGACTGTTTTTGAGAAAAATCATATTGTTTTGAGAATATGAGCGACTTCTTTGAAGGCGCTACTTTTTTCACCCATTAAAATACTGTCTTGAATTTACTTTACAACCACAATTTTTTACTTCAATATTCCCTAATAAAACTGCATCATATGCGATTATCGATCAATTCTCAGTTGACCAAATTTTGGGAGAATTTATGGTTTTTAAATGTCCAAGCCACGATAATTACACATTTGAACGATGCAACTAGGTGTAGCTTACACATTTATTATTTATTTAAACACATAAATATTGGTACAAGGAAGCACCAGATACATATGTGCCATACAAATCTCATTCGAGTGGGGAGAGTCCGCTCTCCCTCTCTAAATGCTCTCACATGGCCAGCGAATATATAGCCTCTGACAGGGAAGTCCTACTCACTGCCTTCTCGTGGCACTACTGTTTTTTACGAAAGTGAGAGGACGAAAAGCGAATGTCCGGCGCTTTAACCGGGTTGGTGGACAAGGCGAGTCCACCTAGGTGAGTTGGAAAACCCTGATTCCAAACCAATGGTGCACATGGGCTCCAGTATCCTGAGGGAACAAATGGCGTATGAATCAACCGTTGGTCACTGGCTGTCATGGGACTGCATCTCCTTACGATGCTCCACTGACTTGTGGATTAGACTTTTGGGTCAAAGGCTCTGGGTGTGGCCCCCTAAGAAAACCACCTGCTTCGGTTCGGGCACCTGGAGAGTATCACAGCCCTCAAACAAATCGAATGAGATTTGTATGGCACATATGTATCTGGTGCTTCCTTGTACCAATATTTATGTGTTTAAATAAATAATAATACTTCTCCGATGTGCCACCTGGCATTCTCCCTCTGCTTGTCAATCCTGTACTCAGATTGGTCACATCTCTATCAGTCCTCGCTGGTGTAGTTGTGTACAAAACTTTGATCATCCCGTTGTTTGCACTAATCTCATCCTACGTTTCAGTTGCCAATATACTCATCGCCCTAAACGGGCTAATGTCTCCAAATCAGTTGCAGCTTCTGTTGCAGCTAAATATCAAACCGATCTAGGTTCAAGGCTGTCAACCCATCGAGAGGTTCGTTTTCTTTGTGGTTGAGGATGTAATGACCATGTCTTCACTCTCCACCAAATGTTAGAACACCGTCAAACCAGTCCACGTATAGTGGAAGATAGAGTGCCTTATGCCAATCTAGACCATCTTTGACACCTTCGTGATGTTATTCTGACTGTAGAAGATCGGACCTACAACGCGCTGGTGAGAGGAGTTCTGTTCTATGCTTGTGAAACCAGGCTTCTCCGAGTTGATAATGTTAGACGACTCTCTGTGTTTGATCATCGTTGTTTCCGAAGGATTGGTGACATGCAGCGGCAACACTATGTTAGTAATGCAGAGGTTCGGCGTCTTATGTTAGTTCACATAGATGACAGTTTAACTGGTGTTACCATCTTGAAACCCCGAACTCGGTGGCTTGGGCATGTCCCACGAGTTTCGTCCCAGAGAATTCCACTTCGTGGATTATTCGCCGATGCTGGGACTGGTTGGAAAAAGCAGAGAAGTGGTCAGTGTATGGCATGGTGTCGTGGTATGAAAGAAAGCTGTACAGGACTGACTTCTGTTTGTCCTTCACGACTCCTTGGCAGGGGTCCAAGAGATGGTGCAACACAGTGTCTAGAGACGTTATCAGACACGGGTCAGAGTGGAAACCAGTAGCGATCCTGCTGTAACTTTCTTTTACTTTCTTTATAAAAAATGAACTTAAGTACTTTAAAAGAATTCTTTTTGGTTGTACGTTTGCTAACTGAACTGTTTCTCCCACTAATTATTATTATTTCACTCTCGTACAATAATTTCTTTCAGTTGTCGCTCTTTTCATTGCACACACTTTCTTTTCTCTATCTCTTCACAACTTTATTGTTATTTTTGGCGCATATGTATTTGGTGCCTCCTTGTACTAATGTTTGTGCGTTCAAATAATGATGATAGTAATAATACAAATTTAATTTGATATGAAGTTGTCAACGTATGATGACTTTAAAACATTATCTTTTGATAAAATGCCTTAGATTTTCACGTTTCTGATCAACACAATCAATATTATAGGCTAATTCGATAAGGTTTTTCGTGTTAAGCAAACGCTAGTACTGAGAATTACCCTCAAGTTCACAAAAATCACCTTATCAATTCAAACTTCTGAATGCTTATTAGCAATCGCCTTAAATATAAATCAAGTCACTTCCATGATATGAGAAGACAAGTCTGAATTGTGAAATTTTTGGTTAAAAAGTAAAATATAGTTTTTTGGAATTAACTTTAGCTATTTATTGCTTTGATTGAACTTTAAACGGCATGAATTCATTTTCTTATCAGGTTTTATATGTCTCTGAAAACAACAAGACGACTTACCGGGATTTTTTGTTTATAAAAAGTCCCGTGGCTGATATCGAACTAGATTAACACTCACCTATTCAAGACACCTGTTTACGATATCTTTACGCATTTATTTTGTGAAATTCAACCGATATCGCAGGAAAAATTACCATTTTACGGTAACAAATAAGTTGTTCATTAATAATCCATAATGAGGAACATGAAATATTATTCTTTAAATTTCACAATTTGTAAAAAAACAACTTAGCATTCAGTTGGTAATTTTATACACTTATTTTTCTGGATATAATTTTTACGAATTCACATAGGTCTCCAGTAGTGCAATTGTAAAAGCGATCAATATTACTTGATTAGATACATATGCTTTTAAGTAAGAACTCTATATAACAGTGCAAATATTATTACTAGTAATAGAAATGGTTTACGTACTTGGTTTTCAACCTCTAGACCAAGGCTTTGATTCCCGTTTAGTCTACCAAGGTTTGGATATCTAAGCAGTATCATCAACTCCCATATATATGGTTTAATAGTCGAATACATTGGTATGTATACACATATGAGTCGTACTTTTACCATTCCTAATTAGGATCGGATTTACTACATATAGGTTTTGTAATTTGTTGGTTTGAGGCTATAATTTGTTGACTTTTCACTTATTCGCTACTCTTATCTTCTTATGTTTTGTTTATTAGTTAATATGTACCGAAGAGGTGCTAAACGATGGAAAAAGAAATTTTATTTATTGCATGGTCATCAGTTTGCTGCCAGACGATTCAATCGGGTAAATTCACTAGTATTTTTTAGGAATGCTTTCTATCGGTTACCAACATGACATAGCTCATAACGGGTCGTACTAACTTAGATTTATTAAATATTTTTCTTCCTTTATATATTTTTCAATATTCCCTCATATATAATTTTTGAAATCATATTCTCAGTGTATCAACCTTTCACTGATGCAACTATTATTTCAACTCCTTTGGGATTCCTCTTGTTAATTTCATCACACTGCGCTAATATAGTATGGCAGCTTGGTCCAGGATCTATCTTATGATTGATTATCTTTCTATGAGGACATTCCTGTTATGACTAATACCCAACTAAAGTTTTTTGAGTTTCCTATTTTTTATGTTGCACTTACTCAAATTTATACACATGTCTAAAGATTCCCTGGACATTGTCATTTCACATAACAAAAGTCATTGTCTTTGATTGTAGCAATATCCAACCGTTATATCCTAATGAAGACGTAAGTAGAGGTAACTTCCGGGACCTATTAATGGACTATTATTCTTTATATAATCTTACTGTTTAACTATTGAGTAATTAGATTGTGTATATCTATATTTATCTTACCATAAGCTTCATTTTGACCTATGGATTATTATTATACGAATTACTGTCCCTAAATTATATTCAATATACTGATTATTGTCTCCCACGTTCACAGCCATATTTGGCTTGATCTTGTACAAATATTATTTTCTATTTTATGGTGTGATGCGGTCTGTTTGTCTGGTATATAAACAGCAGAAGCTGCAATTTGTGTTCTGGACTCAATTAGAAGGGCTAGGCGGACGAGGGACCAATAAAGACGCTAGATTGCTCATACTGGTTGTACATCGTTGATTTGTCACAGTGTTAAGACTAGATAAGTCGTATTCAGATTGGCGGATAACTCACGTGGTAAAAGCCGGACATAAAATCATAACGAATTGGAAACGGTCTTATTTTATAGTCATAACACCAACAACTGATAAAATGAGCTATTTTTTGGTCCCAGCTTCCCGATGAATCATTCTATTACCCAGAGATCCTTTATTATCTAAGGGTTTGAGTCAATAAATTTGTTACATGAGTAGTCATCACTCAGGTGGTGCGTATCATTGCATTTCATTAGTCTGTTCATATAGCAGTCATTTATTTAAAAAAAGAAATGCAAACTCTGTTTCTTCACAAGATCACCCTTTATAACACTATCCAGTAAGTAACACTGTCCCCTCAGGAGTGCCTTCGAATAATGGTGACATTTGTTTCTTTCTCTATGGTCTATTACTCTTCTCTAGGTTACTTCCTTTTGATCATTTAGCGTCCCAACAAAGAATGTTGTTTGAAAAGATCAATTCACCATGACTATTCACATTCAATGGGTAATAGAAACACCTTGACCGACTGAAATGAATTACTCTCATCTAGCTAGCAGATATAACTTGCTTTTATGCCATTTTAATTAATATATGTATTTCGTTGTTTTTCTCATTTATCTTAGAATGCTGTATGTGCTTACTGTAAGGAACGTATATGGGGTTTGGGACAACAAGGGTTTAAATGTATTAATTGTCGTCTTCTACTTCATCGTCGTTGTCAAGGTGGAGTGCGCCATAAATGTGGTGAAGCATTTATCAGACCGTCCTATCAAAATATGCGTTCAATCTCTACATTTTCCACCGGTTCCACTCCTACTGTGTGGGATAATAATGGAAACAGACCTACAACCATAGCAACAAATCTATCTTCTGAAACAAGTAATACACTCCCACCTCATCTTCCTGTTACTATTCAATCATACAAAGATGAACCAAGACCACCAAAGCAAGAGAAAATCATTGCTTTAAGTGAAAGAGAATCAAATCGTAAGTTCTGAGTTTTGAGAAAGATTTTCTCCACAGATTGACATCATTTGAGAAGTCATAATGGAGCAATAACCATTTAGTAAGTAATTCATCGAAATTCATGATCCACCTACGTCCATACGTGAAATAAAACCATAGACCAGTCGGTATATCATAAATAACGAAGAATTCGACATGAATATGCGTCAATCTAAGTTACCATACTTCACATTAGGACAACATGGGAAAAAATTATCAAAATGAACATTATAAATAAATTAATATATTTGTAATATCCCAATGGGATATTACAAATATATTAATTTATTTATAACAATCCACCCAATGCTCAATTTATTCAAAATTATCAAATCAAAACTTGGTAATGATACCTACAAAATGAACATTAGTTAAGTTAAAATAACAGTAACGTCTAGTTCCCAGATTCTTAGGTAGAATCTGGGAACTAGGCGTAATTCCATCTGACTAGTCCCAATTACTGATTGTGCCAGTCTATAAGAAAGGACAAAAGTCCTCTTGTGACAATCACAGAGCAATCAGTTTGACTAATATAGTGTCTAAAATATTAGCTTCAATAATACTTCGACACCTAACTAAAGCTCGTGAAGAGCAAACTAGAGAAAGACAGGCTGGTTTTCGACCTGGACATGGTTGCATAGACCAGATATTCACTCTACGTCAGGTCCTAAAACATAGACACATTCAGACGCCCCACAATCGTAGTATTCCTTGACCTTAAGGCGGCATTTGACTCCGTTGATCGTGAGGTTCTATAGCAGTGTTTGTCACTGAAAGGAGTACCAAAGAAGTACATTAACCTCATAAAATCTCTCTACTCAAACACAACTGGTCGAGTTATAACTAATTGGCGAACTGTCATCAGAATTGGTTGCCTCAAGTGGTGTTCGTCAGGGCTGTCCACTCTCTCCATTCTTGTTTAAATTTGTCGTTGACATGCTTTCAGAGATAACACTTTCCTCATCCAAATTTAGAAGCGTTGAACTTCCGTCAGGAGACTCACTTGTTGACTTCGAATATGCTGAAGAGAAGATGCTGACAAAATGCAGATTCTTCTGACCACTATAAGCAACTATGCAGGCATGTTCGGGATGCGATTCTCCCCCTCAAAATGCAAAATGTTACTTCAGGATTGGGTTGCATCGACACATGAACTAATGATAAGGAGTGAAGTAGTTGAGCGTGTAGACCACTTCACTTATCTTGGGAGTCTCATCAGCCCTTGTGGTCTGGTGTGTGACGAAATCTTAGCGCGGATACAGAAGACCCGTCTAGGTTTCGCCAACTTGCGTCATTTATGGAGTAGGCGAGATATCCGTCTAGCAACCAAAGGACGGGTTTACTGTGCAGAAGTTCGTTCGGTCCTACTTTATGGCAGTGAAACATGGCCGATAAGAGTAGAGGATATTCGTAGGCTACTAGTATTCGATCAGGTGTCTTCGAAGCATTGCTCGTATATCCTGGGACCACCGGGTAAGTAATGCAGTTGTTAGGAAACGAGTACTAGGTAGGGATGGCAAATCGATTGATGAAGTAGTGAAACTTCATCAGTTGAGATGGCTGGGACATGTGTTACGTATGCCCGACCACCGACTGCCCCGACGTGCAATGTTTCATGGTGTAGGAGTAGGTCGGAAGAAAGCTAGGGGTGGCCAGACCAAAACGTGGCACAAATCAATGAAGTCACTGACAAGTGGACTGGGCCATGTTGGTAGGTGTAGACTACCTGGTTGGGATGCGCCAGATGATGACACTTGGCGGTTAGAGACCTTGAATGACATGGCTCAAAAACGTTTGCAATGGCGCAGGGGAATCCACTCTATATGTTCTCCCAGATTCTAATCTGAATTCTTCATGTCTCCATGTTTCTCTCTTTCCAAATTTATTTCACTGGATTATGCACCTCGAATAACATCTTCAAACCCTAATCTTTCCGATTACTGCTTATACTCTTACAATCTCTACCTTTATGTAATTTGAATCGACAACAGTATCTCTGTGCTAATGTGGTGTGGCAACTTGAACTGATGTGCGTGCTTACGAAGTTCTACGTTGTGACTGACGGACTGGACGTCGATAACAGCAAAAGACTAACTGATAAGGAATGCAACATTTAAATATATGAAGTAATATTACAACTCATAATTACGTCCAGTTTTGTGTCTCACCTTCTAGTCTCCAACTATAGATATTGGATTATCTTGTGAATCAAAACTAGAAATTAATTATCAGAATAGACGCTAACAATGTAGTACCACTATCTTGAAAAACCTATATCACAGTCAGCTGCTCTTCCTCACTCTTCAATTTCACCATAACTGCCGTAAATTCATTAGTAGTTGAAGGCTCGACAGATACGTCCTGTGGAAGCTGTTGATAAGTATTGAGTAATTCAAACTTCAAGGTAGTTGCATTGCTCTTTAATGACTGTCATGAAATTTAAAAACGAATAATTAACCCATATATATATATATATATATATATATATATATATATATAATGTTAGATGTTACTTCAAATGCGTTTCACCTTATTCTTTTTCAGAAACATCAGACAAACACATTACGCCAACATCCGATATAAAAAACAATGTAAGTATTTTCACTAGCAATTCCATAAATACGTGCTCTCTTGCTTCTATACCTCTCACACCTGTTTTTGACATGATAAAATAATATTTACTTTTAAGGAAAAAGTAAATTTTTTCAAACTTATTGATCATTATAATGCTAGCATAACTGTTGTATAGGAGTATTATCCCCTAAGAAAAATGCGGTAGAATCATATATGATGATGTTCTATGCAATTCTTCGCTCAAAATAAATGATGAAGATAGTCATGTTGTCAAATATTTCTTCACTCTAAACAAGCTCTGCCATTGTAATTAGCCTTCCGTTCACGACATGCAAATATTATATTTGTTGTTATATGGTATTACGTAGGGTTACGGTTGAAAAGTATTCTATGGACTAATGTTTCTAATCCCCGTTTGTTTTACTTATCCTAAATTTTTTTCAGCTCAAACCAGGTTCAGACAATTTAATAATTGAAAGAAGTGGTGTTCACCCTAGTAGTGTACCAGTCCCCGTTTCTATCATTGATAAAGTTGATGATAAGTCCATACCAATCATAGAACAGCGCATTATAGATATTCCTGATATTCCAATCACTTCTGGACGGGTTGGTTTACATGATTTCAATTTACTCAAAGTGATTGGTCGTGGTAGTTATGCTAAAGTATTTCAAGTAGAGCATAAACCAACTAACCGTATATATGCAATGAAAGTTATTAAAAAAGAAACTATTCTTGATGAAGAGGTATGTCTGGTCTGTGTTTTCGGTAATTTAACAAATACTTTTGGACTAACGGTTTTCCATACTTTGCAAATATGTAGAACTGAAGTCACTAAAAATAGACTTAGTTTTGACACATGTTTATCCATCACTGTTTTATATTGTTTCAACATAAACATTGGTACAAGGGGGCGCCAAATACCTATGCGCTACACTTCATCTGATTTGTATGGGGGTTGAAATACTCCTTGGGCCCCCAGACCGAATCAAGTGGTTCTGTTAGAGGGGGGAGTATACTCTCCCCACCCTCGACCGTACTAGGGCATTTCGGGGCCATCAGATGTTCACTGAATATATGCTTCGTAATGCTTTGGAATTTACTCAGAGTTTTGACTTCTCTGAATCAAACTTGTGGCTGTCTAGGTTTATTAACTATAATCTATATAAAAATTAGACATAAATCGATCTTCATCTCTTTACATTTTGCTGGTTCCATCATTATTTATGAGTTTTTCCGTGACTCATTCTGTTTACTGACAGTGTACATATAAACAAAACACTAAACATAGCATCAAGCTTCAAACCCAACCGTTTCTATAATTTTCGTTTCTCGCTAGGCTTGAGTAATTTTAATAAATGGATTTCTCATGAATTCAGCCGCATCACGTAGGCCAAAATACTGGTTATCACTTCAAGAAACATATTAGTACTCGATAATGTTTTGTTTCTTGCGACATAACCTTATTAAATAAGTCTACGATTTCATGAGTCTAAATTACTTTAACAGGGGCATATAAGTGAAAAGTGAATCAATAAACTTTAGCATGATTGTCAAACATTGCTAGTTTTACGTTACAATTGTACTGCACGTCTCAGTTCATAAAGTCACTGACTGTTGATCTTGATCATATTGAGAATCATAGACTTGATTAAGGTCTTCAGGATGACAAAAGTTGACCACCTAAGTGAAATGATTCTAAGATCATTACAATAGTCCAGATCCAGTTTACTTTTGTCGTACAAATCATGAACATTTCGTTACTTTTCATTTAGTTTCGATTGTTTATTTTGAAATTTCCTTCTAGTTAGTCTTCTGTTACTCAGTTACTGTTAGAAAACATGTTAATTTAGAGCAATGCTTTTATATTCAATGTTCTGTCTGTTGTTGTTAGTCTGTAGTTCATTGTGAAGCCGATTATCACTGTTAAAGCTTTGTGCATGCAAATAGACAACGGTTTCAGACAATAATTGGATAACGGTAATTTTAAGTATTGTATCATCGGTGCTACCAGAAAACGTAAAACCAGTTGATAATCGAATGGAAAATTCGGGGTTGATAGAAGCTGACAAATTCAAAAAAGAATGGAAATTACGGATTATTCTAATCAAGGCGACTAGTCAGTCAGTCAGTCAGCAACAACGTAGGACCAGGCACAAATATGCATCGGTCCAAGTTGCCATACCTCGTTAGCACAACAAGATGAACACCGGATTCATAGAAGTAATTAATTTAGTGGTGGTAGTATATAAAGAAAGGTTGTATATAAGGATATAGTATAGGAAGGAAAAAAGTTATGAAGCAATTTTAATCTCAAGGTTTAAGGGAAGATAAAGAGTGTATACACCTACGCCATTGTGATCGATTCTGAGCCATGTCACCTAGAGTCTCCAACCATTGGTTACGATAGTCACGCGGACCCCAACCAGGTAGTCTGCATCTACCAACATGGCTCAGACTAGAAGTTAATGACTTCAAGCACTGATGCCATGTTTTGGTTTGGCCGCCCCTAACTCTCTTCCAACCATCCCCTACACTAGTCAGCATTGCGCGTCGTGGTAATCGGTGTTCAGGCATACGTAACACGTGGCCCAACCATCTCAGTCGATGAAGATTCATGACCTCATCAACTGATTTACCATCATTCCCTAATACCCTATGTTTAACCTCACTATCACTTACCCGGTTATCCCATCAGATGCGAGCAATATTTCTAAGGCATCTGTGGTCAAATACGATAATCAAAACGATGCTAATAAAAGATAACTATCAGTTTTTTAAAGAATGGCTTGCATTGAGAACTAAGAGATAATTGAGTACAAATGCAAGTGATGAAAAACGTTAAGGTAATAAACTAAATACTGACTAATTAATCGTGGTGAAAACGCGATTACGCACAAAATAAATTAGTATGTATTTGCTTTACAAAAATAATAATTTTCCAAATTGTAGCGTGGAATGTCCACAGTCCCATTATGGAAGATCTTCCTAAAACGTACAATGTGATAGAAGAGTAGCATAGAGACCATAAAGTATTCATTAATGCTGCTCATCCAAACATATAAAATATTCATTGATGTTCTAGAAAAGGAATGGAGTCCAAGTAGATGGAGAATCGAAAAATTCTCTCCACTTGTTCAATTAAGGGACGAGTATACTACGCAGCAGTTCGCTCTGTTCTTCTTTACGGCTACGAAACGTGGCCAGTATTTGATCACATGTCTTAAGGATTTTGCTCGCATCTGATGGGATAACCGGGTAAGTGATAGTGAGGTTAAACACAGGGTATTAGGGAATGATGGTAAATCAGTTGATGAGGTCATGAATCTTCATCGACTGAGATGGTTGGGCCACGTGTTACGTATGCCTGAACACCGATTACCACGACGCGCAATGCTGACTAGTGTAGGGGATGGTTGGAAGAGAGTTAGGGGCGGCCAAACCAAAACATGGCATCAGTGCTTGAAGTCATTAACTTCTAGTCTGAGCCATGTTGGTAGATGCAGACTACCTGGTTGGGGTCCGCGTGACTATCGTAACCAATGGTTGGAGACTCTAGGTGACATGGCTCAGAATCGATCACAATGGCGTAGGTGTATACACTCTTTATCTTCCCTTAAACCTTGAGATTAAAATTGCTTCATAACTTTTTTCCTTCCTATACTATATCCTTATATACAACCTTTCTTTATATACTACCACCACTAAATTAATTACTTCTATGAATCCGGTGTTCATCTTGTTGTGCTAACGAGGTATGGCAACTTGGACCGATGCATATGTGTGCCTGGTCCTACGTTGTAGCTGGCTGACTGGTTCAACAACAGCATGTAAAAATGTTAAAGGAGGTAACAGCATAGATCAAATTGTCTATAGAAGACTATGGGAACAGATCGTTACTAACAACTTTACGTGGAATGGCATAATATTTGAACTCATTAATTTAAACATAATAAACTGTGTTATACAGATTTGTAAATTTAAATAATACTTAGGTGTTTACTACATCATTAAGTATTTCTCTTGATGCTCTTTCATTACACTATTCAATATCGTTCTAATCCTCCCGCTGATACCAATCCCCCTTATTGACGGATACTAGAGTGTGAATTTATGGTTCCAAATAGATTATAGTAAAGAAAACTTTTCGTGAAGTAAAAACACAAACAAGTATGATTTTTCTAAGCAAGAATACATTGCTTCTGAAGTAGCCTCTTCTACAGATAAATCGGTTTAAAATCAAATAGCAAAACTCGATACCAAGTAACTAAGTTTTTACTTGAATATTTTGAAAAAAACTACCTTCTTGGGAAACTGATGATATTGTAATTGACATTACCTAAATAGTATGTGTAAAACTCATTTTTCTCATATTTCTAATACTAGGATATTGATTGGGTTCAAACAGAAAAACATGTATTTGAGTGCGCTACTAACCATCCATTCTTAGTTGGTTTACACTCGTGTTTCCAAACTAGAAGTCGGTAAGTTTCTAAAATAAATATAAATCATAAAAGTCGTATTTTGTAACCTTATAGATTAACACTATTGTCCAAGTGTCTTATGGTTTTACGGAGAAAACTATCCTAAAGGGCATCTTATTAATATTAATTGTAAGGATTTATACTTTCCGATTGCTAATACTTAAGATTGCATTTTTTTCTTTCCTTGTTGTGATATGGACCCCTTTAGTCGATACACCTCCACTTTCCAAAACATAAAGGTTTATTAACTCGTAGTTCAAATACCTATAGTTGAATTTTACTTTGTAACAGCTTAAGTTCAATAAGTTCTTACACTAAAATTTGAAAGTGACAGTTATTGTGTGAGAATCAACGATACTATATATTTCCAGTCTGAAGTAAATGAATCGTGTTTATACGCATGAATGACTCAAGCTCCGACTCGTTGGCTTAGACTTCGAATTTTCAAATGGTTGTCTGTTCGTTATCTCTACTTACCGATGTAGATGTGGCTCGGTACCACTTTAACATAGAAATTAGAGGTGGAGGGGATATTATATATTTGATTCAGTTGGAATTAAACCTTTTCCATACATTCAGTTTGTTCCGGCCTACAGGTTGAATAAAATTTTGAACATAGTTTCTTTCAATTTCCCAACAAAAAGGATTCATCCATCCATATATAGAAAAAAACTGTAGTAATCATGCGTACTACCTAAGGTTCCGAGTTTCATCACATATCTTTCTGAATAGCTTCTCATAGCCCGCAGTAGCATACAGAAAGGCAACTAGCAGATAAGAGTAGTTAATGGGCTACATTTATTTAATATATGTATTCTTGATCGTATTTGCTTTTGTTATGAATGGAATATGGTGACATGAATTTTCCATGTGGTTGACTTAGTCTCATCGAGATCGCTTTTTGAGGGCTATTTTTTGGATGTGACTTGACCAAAAGGCATTTTCTTGATTATCATTGCTAATTTGTCTCTTAATGATCAAATCCATTTATTCTCAATTGTATATTTGAACATCGCATCACCCAATTCAGTTTTTAAAAAGGCGGATAGTATCGCTGGTTCGTTTGTTACGATATTGTTGCTCAAGACGGAGTATGAGAACCATATACTTGGTTACTGAGTTATATTACTGTTTGATGTTTTAACCGAGTAACACCTGTCAATGAATGACTATTTTTTGTTTATAGACATGTGTCACTCAGGATCTAAGAATATCGTTCACTCCATTCAAATAAGTTAGAAAATACATTGCTATTAACTTTCGAATTTGATTAAATCCGGAGCGATACATCGTAGTAGCACTGATTTTGTAATAAAGCGTTATTGAATCTATTTATTAATGGTTAATTTGATGTGGATAAATAAATATTGATCTACACCATCTCAATATTGGTCAGTTTTTTTTAGGAATTTATTTTGAGTTTTTGATTTTATCTTATTATATGATATATTTATAGACAACAGTGAAGTCAGCTGATAATGATGGCATTTTTTACTCATGCCGACTACTCGAATAATGAGTGATGTGCTTATTTCATTTTAACTCTTTATAGGTTGAGAAGTTATTTAACATTCTAAATAATATTAATTTATAATCTTAATAAAGTGCCTTTACATCAGTCGTATAAGTCAGTCCATATGTTACAATCATGTAAAGTGAAAAGTTTTATTAAATTGTTGATACGATACACATCGTATTTGTGTATTTCAGTTACGTGTGTTGTATACGGTGATAATTCAGCATTTATTTGCAATAAGTGGTTTTGTACTGATTTCATGATGATTCGTCTACTTAGTAATAACTTTCTACGAGATGAATTTTTCCAAAGTTCTAGTAGCGAGCATCTAAAGTCAACCATTTCAAATGGAACTGTTAGTTACTGACGAAACTGATGAAGTATTGTGATATTACAAAATGATAGGTAGATAGTCGGACAAGTGAACTGATATACATCGACTTAACAAAATATAATTTAGACAGTAGAAAGACTAGGACGGTAACTAGTCAGTTCACTGGGTTAAGTCCTATAGGGATTCGGTTTCTATCCAAATAATTCTATGGTAATATCTTTGACTGTGTTGTCATTGAGTGATATGAGTTCAAATATCTAGAGTAGCATTATCTTAGACATTTGAAAAGTGATATTTCTGGTTCAAATCAACAAGTGTGAAAAATAACACCTACTCATCAACAAATACAAAAATACACCGTTTTCTTGATAATCATGAATAAATGTTGTTTGGAATAATGGACGTTGAAGTAAAAAAATGTCGTCACACCATTAATCGTTGACATTTAATTAGATTATTATCCATATCTCCTCTTCCTGTATGTGTTAACACTATTGGTTATTTCTATTCTGCGCTTAGTTCATCCAAAAATTTATTTGAAAGTTGTTTTATGTATAAATTTATTGAAAATACTAAAGCATAGATGATATGCCAAACCAACCTTGTTCAGTGTATGTTTTAGGCTTTTAAACGAAAACCCTGTTAAATAAAAATTTATACTGACCCTATGTACAATTACATACAGAACTATGGCTTGTAGTTTTAGACATGACAATTAAATAAAAATCAAACCATCAGTTGGTTAGATGACCTATTTCAATAGCAAACGTTTTTACCATATACTCATAATTAATTGCCCTGTCATTTTCACTGGTTAGCGTTTTTTAGCAACAGGTTGCTAATTCCATGCTCAATCCTCCTCTTTACCTAGGCTTTGAAACTGGAAAGAACCCTAGGAGGGTTTCAGGTGAAGTTTTGTTATTCTCATAGATAATGGTAATTGTTTTTAGTATGATTAGTTAATCAGTGATCCAGATTTTGTGTCATACTTCATTCCTTTTGTTCTTTTTTTCCAAACTAACCTATAAACAATAGATTATTCTTTGTCATTGAATTTGTCAATGGTGGAGATCTAATGTTTTATATGCAACGTAATCTTCGTTTAGCAGAAGATTATGCACGATTCTATGCAGCTGAGATTTGTATCGCATTAAATTTTCTCCATGAACGTGGGATCATTTACCGAGATCTCAAGTTAGACAATGTTTTGATGGACAGCGAAGGTCATATTAAACTAACTGATTATGGAATGTGTAAAGTAAGGGAAAATATTAACTTTTCCAGTTTAATGTTATGTATAGTGTGCTCTGGATTTTAACTTGACTTTCCGATTAACAATACGTACCTATACTGACTTATTTCGATCGTTGTCTATTACGGTGTGTTCGAAAGATAGTGTTTCGCTGCTTTCTATCACGTTCCATATCATTCAGGTCATTCAACATGAATAAATGTATATTCAGCACATCACGATTAGAAAAACTAAGTGACATTGTGTACTGTGTAGGCTTTTCGAAGTAATGGTTGCTACCGAATTAATTTTGTTATGAAACAGTAAAACTGTCTTTAAGCTACTATACATGTAGTTAATTTCTTCAGTATTATATCAGAGTTGATTTTTTCTATTGCCAGTCATACACAACGTAGAATCTGGGACATTTGTACATTGGTTCAATTTGCCATACCCCAATAACACAGCTAGATGAAACTGTCAAAGCAAGTCTCAGAATAGTAGAGGTAGTAACAGTATTATTAGTAGTCGAAACGATTCGGCACCAAATATATGTTCAGAGAAGATATAAATTAGTAAAATAAATTCACGGAGAATTCAGAAACTTAAAATTTAAGGGAAGATGAAGAGTGAAAACACCATAATTACGATAGATTCTGAGCCATATCACCTATTGTCTCCAACCATTAGTTGCGATAATCGTGGGGAACGTCAATCAAGTTTTTTGTACATACCTAAATGCCTGAGTTTAATTGACAATGAATTCATAGAATAATCCCATTTCTTGACTAGGTCACACATCCGTGGTTAGTCATTTAAATCAAATTAAAAACGGGAAAGATTCCTTATATTATTTAAAAAGTTGGAAAATAAGTAATCTAAAAGTTTGGACAAATCGAATGTTTTTGTTCAATTTATTTGACATGATCAGTTAGCATCATTAAGTTTGTTACGTATTTTCATGATATAACTAACGTAAATCAAATGAATAGAAATGTATTCAATTAACTCTTTAATTAGATTCTCAGCTAGTAAGAATTCCAATAACATATACTCATGAATATATCACTTTGTGACAATTTATTCACTTTCAAAATTACATTTTGGAAGTTATAGCATAGACAATGATCAGTGCGTTACTAACTCGTTTAGAATTAGCATTCTCAACTCCAATATAACGCTGTACTAAAATATGTATTTTATTCTACTACTCTTAGTCAAATTATCTACCTAAAGACGAAGTAATAGTAACCAGTATATAACGCTGTACTAAAATATGTATTTTATTCTACTACTCTTAGTCAAATTATCTACCTAAAGACGAAGTAATAGTAACCAGTATTATTAACATTGATTGTACACTTCAAATTCTTTTTGTTTGTCCTCAACGTATAGTACACCAATTAAGATATAAAGCAAGACAATCCAACTTAATAAGGCATATATTATTAATCGTATCTAACTTATTATTTACTTTATTTAATAGGAAGGAATCATCGGAGATATGACTACAACTACATTTTGTGGTACACCGAATTATATTGCTCCTGAAATACTGAAAGGGGAAAGTTATAGTGAGTTTCTTTTTGTATGTGAATAAAACAAAGACAGCGATCAAGATAAAATAGTAAGGATTCATTAATTTCACAGATATCTGAGCTTCCTGCAACCTAAAAATAATAGTAATTATTTAAAAACAGATATACATATCTTATACCATAAAAACAGTCGTCGTTAACCAAAGCAAAAAAGGATTAATTAATCTAGAGAAGCCATAAGAGATATTCTTATATTGCTTATTTACATGTTAGTATTCTCAACAACAACAAAACTGAATTACACCTAAAAATAGGCCTCCAAAAATGAAAAATTAATATCAAAAGTTACGCAGTAACAACTAAAAAAACATGAATTGATTAAAAGTAAGGTAAAACAGGTTAAGATAAAATGCAAGAACAAAGAAGTATTTCTTTCTTTCTATTTGTTACAACATTTTTTCATTGATATCAAGTATGTACATTATTTTCGAAATTATTAATACCATTATTCCTAGGTTTGTAAATATTTGAAGAGACTTTATAAAATAAATGAACATACACTATTCTGCTGTCATTGGGTTTTATTCATTTAGTATTTGTTATAACTTGTGGCCGAGTAGATGCCCTATTAATGTATGACGTGATAAAACCGCCAATCAGAGAGCAGCAAATTATCTATTGGAACAGTAACACACGATAGCCGTACGAGCAGTATAGAGTACGTATCGGTCCTGCTTTCTGTCTAATCCAGCCAGTTAAGTCCAGAACAACAATAACAGACTCTGCGGTATGAATCTTTATACTTCAAACATACTGAGTTTATATACCAAACAGACTGACCGCATAGTACCAATAAAATAGAAAATAACATTTGTACAAGATTCAGCCAAATGTGGCTGTGAATGTGGGAGTCAGTAATTAATAGACTAGGGATAACTCAAGAATGGTAAATCGTATAACAATAGTTTATAGTTCAAAATAAAGCTTATAATAAAGGGAACATGAATATGAATAGTTTAGTTATTTAGCAGTTATACGATAAAAAATGCATGCATAATATTGGTTACCATTCATTATCCTTATCGGGGCATAACAGTGTTTTTTTATCCAGATAAAATATTCTTTCATCAATCAGTCTGTAAATAATTTAAAATGACTTGTGAGTTAAATCACTTGAATTTTAGGTACAGACATTAAATTGTAAGCTATTTTGATTATTACCACTATCATAAAGTGTTGAACTTTAGTTTAAATAATTGATTAATAACATTATCTCTTCCATATTAAATATGTCTCATGATCTAATGTCTACACGTGCGAATGGCCCACTGTAATTGATTAAGATGACTCTGATATTTTCCAAAATTAACTTCGAATTTTTTGTTATTGGGATTTTTTTTAATATACGGGTATAAAATTGACTCGATTTCTGCTAGCATTATAGCCTTTTCTAAACGATTCAGTATTCAACTGATATCTGAGTAGGCTTTCAAGCACGGTTTAGATAAATTAAATAAAGAATATGTTTTGTGAATGAACTTACAGATTGTTATAATTTTCAGTTTATCATTAGAGTGTTGTTTTTGAATAGTGATTATCCTATACTTATAGATCTATTCAAAATTAATTTCTATTGCATTAACATTCAGCAGCAGTCTAGTGTATGTTTGAAAAAGTCGGAATGTTAAGAAAGGGGAGATTAGATAAATACATTTTGCAGAAATTCGAATAGTTTTTCGGAGCTATGAAAATAACCATAACTAAGTAACCCATTTTATGTACTATTTCCTTACTTGAGCCTGTTACAGCTTTCGGAGTATTGGCTGCCAACCAATGATCTCCAAACAACTCTATTGTGGGCTCTTCTTTCCAGTTTTTACCAAGTACTGTTCGTCCTTTTGGTATCTGCATCCCATCGCCGGCGCCATATTTTCTTTGGTTTACCTCTTTTCCTAACGCCTTAAAGATTCCAACTTTTGTGGGTTTTTGAAACTGTTTTATCTACCTATATATAAGAACTCTCGTCTAAATTAGAGCGAATAGTTTCACAGTATTTGAGTACCGAGTTGATGTAAGACATTAAATAGGAATTTATTCCTTGAAAAAGCTTGGACCAGATTGCCAGGCGAAACGTTGGATTTGCTACAAATTCATTCGCTGAGATTTTACAAATATATAGTATTCCTATTTAATGTTTTATCTACCGTTAGTGTCTTTTCCTAATCTTCTCAAATGGCAGAATAGATTATTGCTGATGACCTCTGGCCGATGGATATTGCGTATCTTGAGTACACAGCTGTTTATAAATACCTGTACCTTTTTGGTGAAGGTAGTGGTAGCTCTCCGAGTTTAATCCATATACAATATAAGAGTTTCTGACTTTGATCTTGTCTGGCAGTCTTTTTGGGTTTCAGATATTCTTCAGTTGTGGGGATGTTACCCTTACTTTGTCAATGTGTGCATTTATATCTGCACCAGACCCTCGCTATTTATCAGTGATACTCCGCAGGTATTTAAAGGTTCCCACCTATTCCAGAGCTTCGCCATCAACTGTGATTCGGTCGCTACTCCTCCCTGTGTTGTATTTCAGGGGTCTTATCGCCCCTTTTTAGTGTTGAAGTTTACTACTCTTGTAGCCACTGTTACACTTGCTGTCTTCATCTATATTCGTTGCTGTATACAGAATGGGTAGGCTTATTTATCTGCGAAGTCCAAATCATCCAGCTGTATCCAAGGTATGTACAGTATTCCCCCAAATGCTCTGGTACGGCCGAGAGTTGGGAGAGTCCGCTCTCCCTCTCGAAATGCTCTCACATGGCCAGCGAATATATAACCTCTGCCAGGAAAGTCCTACTCACTACCTTCTCGTGTCATCACTGTTGTTTACGAAATCGAGATGACGATAGGCGAATATCCGGTGCTTCAACCGGGTCGGTGAACACGGAGGGTCCACCTAGGGGAGTTGGAAAACCCTGATTCCAAACCGATGGTGCACATGGGCTCCAGTATCCTGAGGGAACAAATGGCGTATGGATCAATCGTTGGTCACCGGCTACCATGGGACTGCATCTCCTCACGATGCTCCACTGCCTTGTGGACCAGACCTTTAGGTCAAAGGCTCTGGGTGTGGCTCTCTAAGTAAACCACCTGCCTCAGTTTGGACACCTGGACAGTATCACAGCCCTCACACAAACCAAATAAGACTTTTACGGCGCATATTTATCTGGTGCTTCCTTGAACCAATATTTATGTGTATAAATAAATAAATAACAGTATTCCATTCATCTTCTGAGATGTGGAGTTTGTCATTATCCAGTCGATAAGTGTCGAAATGAGGAAGTCCAAAGTAAACAGTTTTGTTTTACGTCGGTTTTCACTTGTCAGTCAGTCAGTGAAAACGTAGAACTTTGTACATACGTACATCAGTTTGAGTTGCCACACCACATTAGCACAAAGATGCAGTTGTCCATTCAAATTCCTTAAAGGTAGAAGTAGTAAGAGTATAAGCAGTAATCGGAAAGATTATAGTTAAAAGATGTTATTCGAGGAGTATAATCCAGTGAAATAAATTTGGAAAGAGAAAATAGATAGGGACATGAAGAATTCAGATCATTAGAATTTGGGAGAACACAGAGAGTAGATGCACCTTCGCCATTACAAACGATTTTGAATCATGTCATTCTAGGTCTCTAACCATCGGTTGTTATCATGTCGTGGATCCCAACCAGGTAGTCTACACCTACCAACATGAATCAGTTCACTTATCAGTGACTTCATGGAATTGTGCCATATTCTGGTCTGGCCGCTCTAACTTTCTCGCATACACTCCTACATCATAAAACACCGCACGTTAGAGCAGTTGTTGGTTGGGCATACGTAACACATGTTACTAACTTGATCTCATGTGCTTTTACGGGTATAAGAGCTAATATCACTTCCCGGCTGCTGATATCGTGGAAGGGTATTTCTTGAGGGACCTGAAAATGAATTTGGATCAATGTTGGTCTTAACGACTAGGAGGCGTGACCGCAGAGCCAAAGGGACATCGGCTTGAAGCCGGTCGCACGTTGCCTTTTTGTGGTAGATTTTTGACGTGTTAGCTCCGTTCTTCAAAGGGCCTTACGGCCGGAGACGGAAATCCGTGAAGTAAGATGAAGTATGACATTTTTAGGGTCGACCTTTTCTAAGCCCTTCCTCCATTTTTAAGAAGGCATCATCGCTGCAGGTGCCGGTTGTCTGAAGGGAACACCCTGCTGCCGTCATACCCCTCTACAGTCAGCAGTACAACTTCGCCCTCAGACCTTGAGTTGCTGCTTATAGTCTTACCATTCTCTAATCGACCTGCCTGGTATAGTAGAACCTACAGGGACATATATTCCAGCCAATATAGTTCGGATGGGTCATCACAATATGTATGCCCGACCACCACGTCAAGGTAGTAGCTACGGTCACTTGTAGTGCATTTGTGAGCTCCGCTTCGTGCAAAACTTCGTAATTCAGCCCTTTCTAGGAGTCCCATATAATGGTGACGATCTTCCCAGGTACTCAATAGTGTTTAAGAAGACTCCATAAGGTTCCCCCATCCACGCTGTCAATTACTTATCACCAAAGAAGTTGATATTTAGTGATAAGTTGCTTTTTCAATTGATTATTCAACAATGATGTGCAGTGTAGTGATTCAGTTGATACATAATCGATCCTTAAGAAATCCAGCTTGTTGGTCTTCAAGTTGACCGTCTATTGGATCTTTCATCCCCTTCACCAACACTTTTGACAATGGTGTAATGCCTCCTTTGTCCTCACTGACTAAGATCTTTCTCCGGTTGTTGATAACGTACCCCTCTTCCTGATCTCGTCCTATACATTTTTTTAAATATTTCTGAAAGGAAAATGGAGCACCTTTCCAGCTACTTCTATTTCAGTACTTGATGGTATAGATTAATAAGCAGTTAAATCTGGATATATTCAGAAATATGAGGTAAAAGTTAAAATGAAGTAATTCCAACGTTTCTCCTGGTAGTCCGGTTCGACTAAGTTTCTCTTATATATATATATATATATATATATATATATATATATATATATATATATATATATATATACATATATATATAGCATGATGCACTGTAATGCTGAGTTACTTAGACTAGTGGTAACTAGCGGTAAAATAGGATCAAACCCAAGGTTAATTCATTATGGGATTGACTAATATTTATCTCTCAATTATGATCAGTGTTGTCAAGCTGCCAATTAAGATTTCTCGTGATAAAACTCAATTCATATTTTATCAGTTGTTTTTGCACCATCCAGTCGGTCAGTCAGCTACAACGTATTACCAGGCACATATATGCATCGGTTCAAGTTCCCATACCTCATAAGCACAACAAGGTGAACACGGAATTCATTAAAGTAATTACTTCAATAGTAGTAATATATAAAAGAAAGATTGTGTATAAGGATATAATACGGGAAGAAAGAATATAAGTAAGATATAAGTAACTTTAATCTCACGGCTTAAGGGAGGACAAAGTGTGTATACACACACTATTGTGAGAGATTCTGAGCCATGTCAAACAGTTTCCAACCATTGGTTACGATAGTCCAAGGACTCTCTTCCAACCATCCCCAGTACTAGCCAGCATTGCGCGTCGCGGTATTTGGTGTTCAGGCATACGTAACACGTGGCTCAACTATCTCAGTCGATGAAGATTCACAACCTCATCAACTGATTTACCGTCATTCGTTAATACTCTGTGTCTAACCTCACTATTACCTACCCGATGATACCAGAAGATACGATCAATATTTCTAAGACACCTGTGATCGAGTACTAGCAACTTTCGAGTATCTCCTACTCTTAATGGCCGTGTTTCACAGCCGTAAAGTAATACAGAGCGAACTGCTATGCAGTATACTCGTCCCTTAATTGATAGACAGATATCTCGCCTTCGCCATAGGTCACGTAAGTTGACAGAAGCTAAACGAGCCTTTTGAATCCATACAGAGATTTCATCAGATACCAACCCATTAGGGCTGATCACACAAGATAAGTGAAGTTGTCGACACGTTAGACTACTTCACTCCCTATCGCTAGTTCAAGTGTTGATGCAGGCCAGTCCTAAAGCGCGAAGTTGCATTTAGAGGGGGGAGAAACGCATCCTAAACATCCTTACATTGTTACTCAGTGCTACCAAAGACTGCATTTTATCAACATCTTCACCAAACAGGACTATGTCGTCTGTGTATTGTAGGTCAATAAATGCATCTTCTGGTGGATCAATACCCAAAACTTCAGGCTACGAGAAAGTTCTTTCCAGTAGTAGGTCTATCGTCAAGTTAAAGAAAAATGGTGATAGTGGACAGCATTGCCGGACACCACTTGAGGTTGTAAAATCGCTCTTACTCGACTAGTTGTGTTCGAGTAAAGGGTCTTCACAAGCTTTCTGTACTTCTGAGGCACACCTTTTTATGACAGACGCTGTCACAGAACCTTCCGGTCTACAGAGTCAAATGCTGCTTTTAAGTCAAGAAAAACTAGCACTGTCGAACACCAATAAGTATGCCTGAGTTCTAAAATCTAACGAATGGTGAATATGTGGTCGATGCAGACACGACCAGGTCTGAAGCCAACCTGGTTTTCTCGTGTTTACAGTTAACGAGTTTTGTTAGGCGTCCTATAATTATTGAGACTAGTATTTTAGATGCTATATTAGCCAAACCGATTCCTCTATGGTTATCATAGGATGATTTTAACCCCTTCTTATACATTGGGACTATCAGTGATTGTGACCAGTCAGATGGGATTACGTCCAACTTCCAGATTTTAGCTAAAAAATTAGCAAACGTAATCACTAAGACTGGACCATCATACTTAAAGACCTCTGGAGCCAATCTATCTGGACCAGCTGCTCTTCCTCGTTTCAAATTAGCTGTAGCCTTTTGAACTTCAACTAGAGTTGGGTGACCTACTACAATGTTCCATTCAGACTGTTTTAGAATTGTGAGCAACTGTAGAGTAGTTGAAGGCCAACTAAACTGTTCTCTAACATGTTCCGCCCATCGTTCTAAACGTCTGTTCTGAGAGCAGACAAGAGTTTCGTCTATCCATTCTCCCCTAAACGTATTACGTAGTCAATTTTTTTAAACATTATATATGAATATCTGCTTTGTATTCAATTTCTCTCTTCACTATTTTTTCTGTAAATACTATCTAAGTTTATTTTAGTTTCTTGACTGCTATTTGTCGAGAAAATCATGATACTATGGAACATCGTCCATCACTTGTCCGCTGCTAGGTGATACTAACTTTTACAAGTATTGGATTATTATTGATTCTGGTATTTCATTTTTTGATGTTAGGCTGTTGTTCTACATTTTCTTTTTTACACACGTTTTGGTTGATATCTGTATATGGTAAGAATTTGTAGTTATGTGATCACGTTGATAGTAATTCATCTATCAATTTATTGCATGCTCTTTGGCTTGTACATTATATATACCAAGGTAATCATGATAAAAATATTTAGGGGATTTTTGAAATGTATTAACCAGATGGAAGAAGAATAATTCAAAATATACAATTTCAAAATAGTTTTTGAAAATTTCAATGACGTAGTCCATTTATTTCATAGTTTATCATTACTACTCTGATTTGAAATAGTAGTATATATATTTATTTGATATTTGTTAAATTAGGTTTCAGTGTTGACTGGTGGGCTTTAGGCGTACTTATGTTTGAGATGTTAGCTGGTCGATCTCCTTGGGAAGGTGTTGGACAGTCAGCTAATCCAGATCAAAATACTGAGGATTATTTATTTCAAAGTTAGTCCCGTTTTATTTTATTAATGATAATGGGCGTTTTATTTGGATTCTGGCATCATTGTGATTTGTACTTTAATTCCTTCTGTCTCTCCGGATCGTGAATAAAACTATGTGAATCAGTTAATTAGACTATGAATGGCTCTGTCTTACACCAGAATTTAGTCTTCAGAATTGAAATTAATTGTTGCACACTTCGTCCGTTGTTGGTAGCTGTCCTGGCTCATAATCGCCAACATCTAAGAGTTTGTAAGCAGAGATGGATGGTGGCTAGCACTGGAATCCAGGTTGCGCGTTTTGTCCTATTTGGGACTAGTCAGCCGGATACACCTACGATTTAAGGTAATATCAAAGCAATCCACACAGGATGCATATATACCAATAAGTGACTGATCGATTGAAACGACCAATATAAAAATGAACTAGAGGCTTATTTTTAGTAAGACAACTTTTGAGTTCAGTCGCATGGATACAGGTGGTCTTTATGAAAGCTTGCAATTCTGAAAGAACCACTTCAAAAAGCAGTTCAGTTGAACGATTTTTACCGAATGTTCTTGTTCTCTAAGGTTGGTGAATACTGACTCACGTACCGAGGTTAAGAAGGGCTTGTAGGGACATCTAAGTACTAGGTCACTGCATGATAGCTAGCTGACTAAAACCCAAGTTCTTTGTTGTTATCTACCAACCTATTTGATTTTTCATAAGATATGATTAGTTTAAATTTTTCTATATAGTAGTTTCCTCTTCTTTGAATAAATCTTCCATGCCTGAAGCTTGTTACTGAGAGCTATCTTTAATTCGTTGAGCTTGTCAGTATGTCGAAAGAAAGCTGTATTGAACCCTTATAATGCTGTTTGTCCAGTGCTTCCTTAGCTTCAGTTTCATCTTGGTTAACACCACTTGGTGGTGATCTGAACCTATTGCAGCTCCTCTCTTGGTTCTCGTATCTTCTTTCGACTTTGTGAATTTTTCACTGATGCCAATATGATCGATCTGGTTCTGTGTGGCCTGATCTAGTTATACCCATGTAGCTTTATGTACTCGTTTTTGTAAGAATATTGTGTCCCCTTCAACCATTTTGTTGAATCGACATAAATTTGCAAAACTGTCACCATTTCTGTTTCTTTCTCCCAATCAATCCATATCATTCCATGATATCTTCATATCCGGTGTTGTTCAATCCGACTTTAGCGTTTAGGTCTCTCATCAGAATTATAAGGTCGTCTCGTGAGCACTTCTCTACGATCGATTGTAACCTCTCGTAAAAATGATTTTTATCATCTTCATTACTATCATTGTTATGTGCATAACACTAGATAACATTCATTGTGATCCACTCTTTGTTTTGAATGATGCTTTTATGATGCTGGATCCGTGAGATTCCCATCCTGGAAATGCTTTTCGTGCTTCACTTGACAGCATCAGAGCAACTCCCTCAATGTGCGGAGCATTTTCTCTTTCGTGACCAGGGCAAAACAGCATCTCTCCCGAATCTATCTATTTTTTGTCTACCTAAGGTGCGATTGGTTTTACTGATTCCGAGGACCTTCAAGTTGTATCTCCTCATTTCCTTTGCTATTTGACTGGTCCTGCTGGTTTCCCACATTTTCTGGACATTCCACTAGGCCATATTAATTGTTGCTCCTGTTTTTAGGAGAAGCATTAGCCTCCTGACTTTTCAAGAATCTGGGCTTTCATCATGAGGCGTCATAATTCTTTTGGAAGAAGATCCTTCTACTTGGAGGTCAGAATTTAGATGGTTTGATTTGTTTAATCTGGTTAACAGTATTTTACAAGATTTTTTCCTACGGGATGGGATTGTTGACCCCATTCAAAAACCTTTTTGTGCGAGCTTGGGACCGATAGTAACCGTAGAAGAGCACAGGCGGAATTAGACTTGTTTGGTACAATTTATCTATTCTATATTTAAATGCCACCATAAAAAAACATTTGTAATTAGGAGAGATGGGATTCGTATCCGCGACTTTGGCTGTTCTTGCATTTCCAGTTTATATCATTTGCAGAATATTTTTGTTAGAAATGTATCATATAGTCACGTTAAACTACCTGTCTTTTATCTTATCACTTTTCTCAAGTATTACATTCTCTAAAAAATATTGATGTATATTTTGTGTAGACATATTCCCTCCATTCTATTATTTTTTCGTCAAGCGTCTCAAGATAACGTATACAAACATTTGATTAATCGTTGTCTATGGCTTCTGCTTGCAACATCTTGTTGAGTCTCCTAGACTAATCAATATGTAATCTTTGTTATCTTGTGAGAATTTATTACGTCAACTATTTTTGCCAGTTAACTATATTAAAATGAATACATATGTTTATCATTCTGTTTAAATAGTCATTCTCAGTCGTCCAATTCGTTTTCCACGTTCTATTTCTGTTCGTGCAACTAGCATACTCAATGCATTTCTCCAAAAGGTTTGTCAATTTATTTCTTATGATTATTACTATTGTCTATTTATCAATGTGAGGACCACAGTTTTCTTTTTTATCAGTTAGCGTAATATTTAATTATCATTTGCTGATAACAAAAGATTCATTTCCAAATTTTGTCCAGTAAAAAAATCACACTCCATCATCCCTTTCTATGTTCATATAGTAAAGGTTAAAATCACATATTTTGTTTCTCCAAGATTATTACACTTCAACTCTAGTTAATGAATCTGAATTTGCATGACATATCTACTAACTTAATTACTACACTGTTAGTTCAATCACACACTTATTCTTTTACAATATTTTGTGAAATCAATTTCATCACTCATGAATGTAGATTTATGTACTTCATTTTCGTTTTAATTCATGCCTTTATCTATTTCTTTAATGACACTAGAATATTAATTTATTTAAGGATGATTATATCTCATTCAGTTGGTCACCCTAACAAAGTACTATTCAGTCTATCAGTAAAATTATTGACTTTTCTAAATAGTTTATAAACTACAATCTCAACCGAAGTGTTCATTAGTTTAAGTTCCATTCCATTGTAAATTCAATCAGACAATGTTTTAGTATTATAGCCACCAAGAGGTGTCATTTAGAGTTGAATGGCTGAGTAGGAATGAACTTACAAATTGTACGTTTAAAGATTTGCGATGTGACAATATACAGTTTGAAATTTGTTTAGTCTGGTAACTATTATTGCTAGTAATAAACGTTAGATTATTGAAGTATTTTTATCCTAGGAAGTTTAGTCAGTCAGAAAAACACAATAGAGAATCTGGCACATTTGTATACCAGTTCGAATTGATATACCACGTCAACACAGCGAGATGAAATCGTCAAAACAAATCCTAGTGTAGTAGGAGTAGTAACAGTGTTAACGGTAATAGAAAAGATTAGTTATCGGATATACTATTCTAGGAAAAAATTTAAATGAGTGGAACAATAAAAGATTTTATGGAGAATCCAGAAATTCGGGATTTAAAGGAAGGCAATTTAGAAAGTTAAGTAAAATTTATATTTTCAACGTATGATGAAGCATTATACTCAAGAAAATCTACGTTCAATATTTCTTTATGCATTTGTTTAGAAGTTTTTTCAAAATCATAGTCTAGTAAATTGAAAGCATACCGTGTGATTAGTGAAAATGCACCTAATTAAATCAGTTAATTTTACGAAATAGTTTCAAATTATATGTGATACACTTTTCCTCTAAATTCTCACCGTATGCAATATTTTAACTAAATTTGTGTATCTCAGGTGCCAACTGAACGGCTTGGATGTGCGCCAAATTCAAGTTTTGGTGATATTATGGAGCATGGATTTTTCAAACCAATCGATTGGGTAGCTTTAGAAAGGAAGGAAGTTCATCCTCCTTATCGTCCAACATGTGGAGGCGATAGAGATCTGATACATTTCGATCCTGCATTCACCGATGAACCTGTAGTGCTTACACCAGATAACGAGTAAGTGTTCAATATTCTATAAATGTTGACACATTTTTGCAAGCATCTTCCTTATTTTTCATCTTTTTTTCGCTAAAAAAAATAAGTATACTATATCACAAATAGAGTCCAATATAAGACCTCTTTCTATTGCCTAACAAATTGGACTATGATAATAATGAATTCAACTAAACTTGCACCATTCGATTCCAACTCAGTCGTTTAACTTTTTCACTATGTTTGCCCTTAAACAGTGAGATTAAAGTTACTTTATATCTTCCTTTATACTAACTAATTCTCTCTTGTACTATGTCCTTATATGAAATCGTTTTTTTTTACTACCATTGAAGAAACTGCTTTTATGAATTTGGTGTTCATCTTGTTGTGCTTATGAGGTATGGAAACTTGGACCGATGTATATATGTGCCTGGTCCTACATAGTAGCTGACTGACTGACATTTGTTTTTCGATAGTTTTTGATCCCAGTTTTCGAAAAGTTTTAACATTTTTACTTAAACATTATATATATATATATATATATATATATATATATATATATATATATATATATATATATATATATATAAGGATTTAAAATATATAGTAATAATAGTAAAATTAACCTTACTAGCAATGAATAATATATATTATAACTAAATGAATGACCACCATTGGAAAATCTGGAAGCATCATACGTTCGTTTTGACTTAGTGTATTGCACATCCACGACATCGAGTTGCTCGGGAATCAAATACAGTAGCTACGGTCTCGCGTGCAAACGCTTTGCTTTTTGACCACTGATCTGACATTCAACGGACTTAACATCTAAGCTCAACTAATCCATCTTCCATTCTCTCCGGTGGGTAATTATTTCACACCCGACAATGTTGAACTCAACTGGTCACAAATTACCCACCAAGGATAATGGAAGATAATTGCGCAATATCGTGGATTGCTTGAGTTTTTACGTTAACACCATTGGGTGACAGTCTAATGGTCTAGAGGTTAAGTCTTAGCTCAAGAGACTGTAGGCCCTGGGTTCAGCTCCAGTTCGGGGGATCCTTGTTGCGCACTGCTGAGGAGTCCCATTCTAGGACGACGCAGCCATTCAGCGCTTTTAGCTTTTCGATTGCGATTTAACATTGGTCGACTCATGATCAAAATTACAACCCAGCAATCTCCTTAAACTTATACTAATAAATGGACGTTATCATATCTGTTGAGAATAAGTAGTGAGTTAAAAATTTAAAATAAATAAAACTTTCACTATCACTTAAATTCAATAGTAATTTCTTTATATGTGTGTACACATGAAACTATTAAACTGTCACTCATCATGCGATCCACATATATCCTCCTCCTTAATTTTTAACCAATCCTAACATAACTTATCCCGTTCATATTCTTGGTGAACGGACTTGCATTCTGTGTATGAGTTTAACTCCACCGTGAGTTTAACTGTAATATAGAAAGTTATATGAGAATAGCTTTTCTTCTTTACACTCATTTTTGTCAGTTAAAATAAATTCAGGAGTATTGATATGTCAGTATTTTGATGAAATATCCATATATATATATATATATATATATATTATTGGAATTTTCATCCAACTGCGTCATTTCTAACAATCGTGAATACGTGTCGGTAAGAAATTTTTTTGTTTTCTTTGTCAATATAATTTTCTAAATAAAAAGCTCCTAAATAAATCTGTTCATCGGTAAACTTTGATTTAATCGTTTACAACATATTACATCATAAGTTTTGTTAAATTTTACACTCTAGAAACATATTACAAATGAACTGATATTACTGAAGTGGTTTACGTATTTTTCCAGTTTTTTTTTAATTTTTACTTTTTGATATGACGTGATAGGGATTTTTGTAGTTAGATGAATTATCATATTAATAAAAGCACATCTTTTTAAAGTGTAAAAAAAACGTGAATCTAAATGTATCCGTTTTTTTGTCCAAGTTTCAAATGTTGTTTTCGTTTCATATTACTCCTTAAATTATCTTCATATACTTTAAATTACTACTTTAATATAACAGAATATATCATCAAATAAGAATATAATCAGTCAAGATTAACGTGGAACTTGACATATATATACATCAGATCAAATTGTCATAACTATATCAGTATATCAGAGTGAAATTAACACGACAAATTCCAGGGTAGTAAAAGTAGTATCAGTGATGGTAGTAGAACACATTATTTATAGAAATCATAATTTGAGAAACGATAACTGCACGAAATAAAAATTATCAGTCTTTTAGGACCTAAAATGTTTAAATATACAACATTGTAACCGATTTTGAGCTGTGTCATCAGGTAGTCCAAACCTACTTACACGGCTCAGTTCAACAACCAGTAACTCTATGAACCGATATAACGTCTTGTTTTGGTCGTCTCTAACTTTTGTCCTACTTATTTATACTGTAGCAAACGTCACAGGTTGAGTTATACTGTATTTGGTAATTTAATCCAAACTTCATTTGTCAACGTTTAATGTGGTTTTTAATTGATATATTAATTTGCTTCTGGTTGAAATAATATTAATAATGCATAAGGAATGGTTTTCCAGGGAACTACATACAAATTTATTCACAATAACCGTCGAAGTTACATCTGTTGGAAAAAGGAAATAATTTATCTTAATATGTCACTGTCTTTATAAACGAACTAGTGTTTGAACTCATTTACTAGTGTTAGTTTTACTGAACCGACAATTCGATTATTCAGACTAATGTGAGGTTTGTAAAGGTTAAGTAACTAAAAGACAAGGTCATTGGTTCAAAATTCGATTTCATTTTACTCCAGACATTTAACGTTCATCTAAGCTACAATATATTAGACAGTTTAATTAGTGTTCTATGTTTTTTAAGCAAATTCCTAGTGCTATCACTATTTCCTGTAGTTTTATTTTTTAAATTTCATTGATTTGAAAAGTATATAATCGTGCAAATCTGGAACTTTTGTGCACATTCTTGCTATGAACTCATCAGTTGATATATTTTTGTCTGCTTAATTCTATAATTAATTACACACATTCGTTTATATTCACTTTAAATATGAAAACATTTTGAAACAATAGACAAAGGTGTATGTGTGATGTCATATTGTGCAACTAATGCCTCCCCTTCTTTAGAGAGGCTTTTATAAATACCACATGTGACACATCTAAGTCAGACAACCATTGAAAACCTGGAAGCAGTAGATGACTATTTTGTCTTAATATGGGATTCAACAGCGAATCGAATCCAAAACCTTCGTTCTCTAGCGCGAACGCTTAACCTCTGGACTACTGTGTAGGAATCTGATGGTTTACAAATCTAACTTCAATCGACCCACGATTTTGCGCAACCATCTACAGTTAGAACGTTCTTCACACCTAACATAGTTAGATTCCGTTGGTCACAGAGCACTAAAAGTCCAGAAGTTTCCTCGAAGTACGTAATTAATGAGCGCATGATGACTTTCAGTATTGGGCCTTGGCAATTATTGAATTTCATTGAAATCATCATCTAATCTACATCAGAAAACCCATATAACACTTGGAATTGTCTATTTAACGATAAAATAAAAAAAGCAATATCTTTTGGTTGGATTAACCGTTACTAAGGTTCTCAGAAGTCATGTAAGTGAATACTTTTGAGAACTAAGTGTATACATCGTTTAAACTCAATTCTATAAATTAACAATTTCAGTACATACCAAATGGTAACGTTAAAATTCTTATGATATCTGACGAAATGTTGGCACGGATTAAAAAAGCCCAGTTGACTTTTGCTAAATTGTATCACTTGTGTGAGTGTACAATATCTGGTTGATGTCTTCGCGATCATAGTAATCAGTGATAGATACTTTATGTTACATAATTCATAATTGTTCTTAATGCTTCAGCTGCATTAACTACTATTACTACCACTAGTATTAAAAAAATAAACGTTCCACATGGTTCTGACGTTCAAGATAACCCTAATGTACTTCTCAAAGTTTTTAGTATGATTTTCAATGTGTTCATTATAGTAATACTTATTTTTCTTACAGAAATAAAAATGTTGATTTCCCAATCTTTTCGCTTGATAATAGGGCAGTGATGTCACGTATGGATCAAACAGAATTCGATGGTTTCGAATATGTGAATCCTTTACTCATGTCGTTAGACGAACAAGTTTAGTTGGGATTTTCGTTCTCTCCTCAATTCTCTTCCCCAATAACTTGTGTTAATCTACCTACGATCTGTGTCTTCTTTTTTTATCACTTCTATTCAGTACTACCACCATATCTATTGAAAACTTAATAAGTAGTATTTTATATTGAATTTTTTTTAATAATTTACTGTAAACATTCCATATGATTCTACTAGCGAAATTTAAAAAAAAATTGTTTAAATCATTTACCAACAGTTCAATGTTAAATTAACTCAAAAGAAAAAACATATCAAATATTAAAATATTTTCACTTTTATTGATTTTAGGGTATAATTCTTGAATTGTTTTTTTTTATAAAAAAGAATATTGCTTACTTCGAAGTTTATATTATTTTAAGCATATACATATATATGAATATTTTTTAGGAAAATTTATTTTGTTTGTTTATTACCAAACCAGCTTACATCATGGTTCCGTGTTCCTCGTTTTTTTTTGATGAACAAACTTGTTTGATTTTTTTCTCTCTCAAGAAATGCTGACTGTATTTCTGTTTTTTCTTCTTTCTTGAGTTGTTTTTTTTTACCTTTATTATTGATGTTTACTTATTTTATCTAATGTTATAATGATGGGATGAGTTTATTGTAGATACTGATAAATAGTATCATTACAATTTGGATGATAAATTTGAAATACTTTTAAATCCAACATTCAATAAAAACAACTTTCTGATCTCTTCTAATTATTTGCTGCTTTAAAAGTGTTTCGAGACATAAAACTAGATTGACCAGGTTTGTTAAGTAAGTAATTAATCATCATTTTACTATGAATTTCTCTAAACTATGGTTATTATTTTTGAAAGAATTTACTATCTATTTCAGTGTTCAGTTACATAATCCAAAATTGACTTCTCAAAATATTGGTTCATCGCTTTCAGCGTTAAAAACGAAAATATATCAATCAAAATGACCATTTTTTTCTTACAAGTTCCTGTAGACAAATACACTGGACACATTTTAGAGATTATTTTACAAAACCAGTTCATATCAATGTTAGCTATTCACACGGAACAAAATACTTTGTTTGCCAAATCTAAGAACCTTAATACTGTGAAACGTTCACTCGTTCATGGTATAAATACCTCTAGCTGGAATAATGAAATCATCCAGTTACAGCATTATATTTTTCCCTTGGGTTGAGTGATGGTGCCAAAAATATAACAAATCATTTTTCACTGATCCACAGTAACTATTCTGAAAAAAACCGTTTTGAATCGATAACCTTAAATTAGTAAATAATCACTTTGATTGGGAATAGATACATGAAGATAAAAGCCAACTGTTTATTGGCTAAATGGATTACGTCATGGAAGTTATTTTAAAGTCTTCCCCGTTACTTTGACCTTAGATAACGGTTTCAGTAATTCTTTTCCTGAAGCAAGTTTTTTCCTCTCTTGAGTGTTGTTTGAAACCATCAGTTCATTATCTTCCACTTCTGCATAAATACTCTCTGTAGGATGTTTTTATAACTCCTATTGAAGCGTCAAAATAAAGAAACTGAACAAGACTTCTCTTTCCAAAACAAACTGATCTTAATATTGTGTTAATATATACCCGTAAACTATAAGTTACAACAATTGACCGATTCAGCGTACATGTTCTAGTTTACCACTTCCTGGGCAGACAGATATTTATGCTATCTACGAAGGCCCATCCTTTTTCGCCTTCGAAATCTGGAGCCCAGTCTTAGCAAAATACAACAATCAATAACACCTTGTCTTCCGGAAAGTGTAGTTTCGAGATACTTAGTATCTGATGTTTTTTTTCTCATTTAACCTACTATATACCACCAAAAAATTCCTAAAAGCATGCGTCTAAACATTTCCATACTGAAGCATGGTTATTTTCTTAGTTGTATGTAGTTGCGCCTCGTCGGACTCCTTTACCTGTTGTTCTTAATTTTATCACACCGTACTTACGTATATTTTACACTAATGTTTTCTTACTCGTTATTTTGTAACTGTATTTTGATTTCCACACTTTAATTTATTGATTACTAATTATACTATTCATCTTAACGTTTTGGAACTATTGTACTCATAGTTAAAATGCTTAACCGAACAATTTAGACATTTCTCACCTTTTGTCACCTTAATTTCTTACCTAATGTTGTGGTCGGTATTCTATATTATCCTTAAACTTCGTATATTGTTCATCCTGATTACCGTTACTAGACAACGACCCCAATAGTGCATAAATCGTAAGATGAATGCGAAGCATCGATTACGTTTACTATTACACTACGCACGGGTCCGAAGCCGCATGTACACGAAGGGAGAGTAAAAGGTTAGCGACGAAAAGCAGACGAGCGAGTGAGTATGCGAGTAGAATAATTAGAGCTGAAATGTACTTTATATACATAGAGAAATGAATGAATCATCGAATCAATTAAGCGACTAACACTAAAGGTAGCATGATGAATATTTGCGTAGGCGGTAAACAATGCTCAAGCGTATATATTTATACAGGCGTAACACTAGTAAAGACACAGTGGTATAGATATGTTGTTACTGTACGAATGACTGTCCGTTAAATAAGTTAGTAAAAAGGATTAACCAAATTAAATGTGGACAAACTCAAATGTTCGTGAGCTGCTATTTTAAAAAACTAAATTATTTTATCGATTTCTTAGTTGTCATTCCCTAAGTTTGTATCATAACATGCATGTTGTTTGTAGCTTGATAATTCAATGTCGAAAAATCAGTCAATATTGGGCCTTATGTTGAAAGGTAGTTCACAAATATCCTATACAGTAAAGGTGTTAGTTTTTGAAGCACTCAGCTCTCAACCAATAGAGGTCAGGTTTATATTCTGCTCCACCTACTTCGTTTTAGTATGCCACGGTAGTATTGATGACCATTATGTGAAACGTGTGGCTCAATTTGCACTTGGTTGTGGATTAGTTCTCGTATTCACATAGGTTATCTCTGTGACTATCTTTTACTTTTTATAAAAATGTTCAGATCGAAAATCGTTTACTTAGTATATGGTCTGTCACACAATTTTACATCATGAATCATTCCATTTCCTTTGCATCTTAGCTTTGTAAACCTACTAATTAACCTCACTTTTTATGTACATATATTGGATCATATATGCAAAATTTCGTCATCAAACTGTTTTTTTATTCATTTTTCGCAATCTACTTGCTTTATATGAGCATGTGAAATGATTAGCCCATTTCGATCTAACAACTGTAAGATTTAATTTGCCTACAGATGAATTCCTTGAATAAATCCCTATACTGTCACTGAGTCCTAACATGGCTGCAGTCAAAACGAGTAACTATGTATGTAGGCAACAATTTTAATCTGCTTCTAAGACAAAAATGCGAAATAGCAATTAAATTATAATGAAAAACAATAAGCACACTCCTAGCGAACAATTGCTGGGACATAACAAAATGAAACAATAAAAAGGGTCGGAGTAATAACCAGCCTGGAAATAAATGAGTCTTAATTGGTAGACGCTTAACTCAACTATTATTGTTTGATTTACTCATTCATTGAGAATAACAGCAACACTGAAAAATTTGTCTACGTTCGGGCGTATGCTGAAGCAATGTATATGCGTTCAGCTCACAAATCAGATCGTAAATGCGTAGGTCGTAGTCATTAGGACTGTATTAAATGGTTTTAGTTCCTTAAGAAAGTTGCTTACAAAATCTTAATATTTATCAATAATTAATATAGCCTAACATTTAACAAGTTAAATTTCACTCAACAAACATTTTTGTTTAAAATAAGTTATTTTATAGAGATTTCGTATAAGTGAAAGGCAAATTCCGTCTTACTGCATGGCTTTCACACTTCCATTGAATCCACCGGAAATCGAAGCAGTACACACAGATCTTCCTGTGGATACCATCACCAATGATCGTAGAAAGCAGGATGGCAATCAGAATGGAACTCGTCACTATACAGCAACTTCATTGGCTATGAGAAAGCGTTGGACAGCATAAATAGAAAAACCTTCTTCGACACTATGGTGTATCTGAGAAAATCGTCAACATCATCCAGAATTCACACGACGTACTAAAGTGCAAATTCATGCATGAAAGACAGCTGACAGACGCATTCTAAGTGAGAACCGGAGTCAGACAAGGCTGTCTACTCTCCCTCTTCTTCTTTCTTCTGGTGATTGACTGGATTATGAAGACCTCGACGTTTGAGGGAAAGCACGGAATACAATGGACAGGTTAAATGCAGATAGACAATTTGGACTTCACAGATGACCTAGCTGTTCCATCCCATACATACCGACAAATTCAAGTCAAGACAACCAGTCTAGTGTAGCAGCAGTCTCTTCATAAGTACAAGAGAAAACAAGATCCTCATATACAACACGGGGAACACCAACCGAATTACACTTGATGGATAAACTTTGGAAGAGGTGGAAACGTTCATGTGCCTGATCAGCATCATCGATGAAAAACGAAGATCTGATGCAGACGTGACGGCAAGCATTGACAAAACAAGAGCAGCATTCCTACAGTTGATCAACATATGGAACTCAAAACAACTGTCAACCAGTTTCAAAGTGAGAATCTTCAATACGGACGTCAAAACAGTCCTACTGTATGAAGCTGAAACGTGGATAACTACGACAACCATCATCAAAATGTGCGGGTATTGATTTCGAATTCTAAATACAATATGTTCGTTTGTGGTCACCTGGTTCTATTTGGCTGAAATCGCACTGTTTCGGGATTTCCTAGTGAACTCAATAATTTGAATACTTTTAATTATCATATGAATGCAAATTATAATATCTATCCACTTCATTAGTGTTTGTCGTATAAAAAAAAGCAAATGCTTATATTTGACAAAGAAAAGTCAAGTTAAATTTATTTCAAATACATTTCTTCAATAAATTATTCATTATAATAAACAAGTTTGTTTGACGAATGTTCAACTCTTTAACATATTTAGCTGGTTGAAATTGTTTAATCAAAATAATAATAAAATTAGCTCAAGAGAATTGCTTGTCGAAATCATTTTGAACTGTGTTACAAGGTTCAAGAAAAACTCATATTTCAGTTATCTGAAGATTCTTCCTGATTATCTTTTCAGACTAAATATAAAGTCAATGTTCTTATCTTTAACTCGAGTAAAAGAGTGGTAAGACTAACTAGGATTTTCACTTATAAATCAACCTAATTATTGACTTAATTGAGATAATATTTTAATGATTAGTAGTCCAATATTGATGTGATAGTATTTGGAATTTTTCATACGACCTAAACCTAACACTTTAAATGATAATTGAGTATTACATTCGTGCTATCGAATTACATATTTCATAGTGAATATAAACTATCTTTAATATCGTATTAATTTCCGTTTACTATCTTTATTCGAATCTGAGATTTTTGAATGGATAGTTTTCTCCCAGCATATAATCTATGGCAATAGCATATTAATTAATGTTTGTTAATAATAAATTTCAATGTATACTTTTCTTTACAAATAAAGATTTTCAATTGTGCATAAATCTTATTCAATGAATGCCTTTTTAATTAAATGTCCCTACTTTTTTATTTATGAAATAACCAAAAGAGTAGTTAACCTTTTTTTATCAATAAACATTCAATCTCTATTTACACTAGTGTCAGTTATTGTTGTTTAACCTTTCTACAATTTACTCTTCTATTCCTTAACATAGTAAATTATTTTATTTGAAAAATTTTCCAGAAAAATCAAACAGTTTAATATTGCGTTACTCAAAACAGCGTTTGAATTCAAGCTTAAATCATATTATAACATTGTGAAATAAATCAATTAATTTTAAGATGGTGAAGAGGATTTGTAGCTCAGGTGGATGATTTTGATGGAGTTTTGTTTTCTGAGCTGGATGGTTTGGTAATGAAGCTTTCATCGTCATTTTGAACGACATCATTAGTACAAACTTCGGGCGTTTGACCGCTAATTGATGTTCGCTAGGGAGAATATAAAGAAGGCGCCCGCTTTGTCCGTGTTGTTTCCCGAAGAGAATTGCGAATGGTGATTTTTGAGGACTATTGGCCAATATAATATGTATATTTCCTATTATAACTGATCTAATCATATTCGTTTCCTCTTATCATTAGCCTTGTCGTGACCTTTGAACTATTATTATACAATCCTTGAGTTATCATCAGTTTATTGATTACTATTCACAGCCACATTCGGCTAAATATTGTACAAATGTTATTATCTATTTTATGGGTCGATATAGTCTGTTTGGTTGGTATATAAACTCAGTATGTTTGAAATACAATGATTCATACCACTGAGGCTGTTATTGGTGTTTTGGACTTAACTGGTTGGGCTAGGCAGAAGCAGAACCGGTTAGCGCTCCAGACTGCTCATACGGTTTCGTGTGTCACTGTTCCAATCGATAATTCGCTGCTCCCTGTTTGGCGGTCTCATCAAGTCACACATATTAACTAGGCATCCACTCGGCCACAAGTATAACAGTCCGATGTAGTGATTTTGCAGTTAAGAAATTTTATTTTGTAGATGATCTGCGGTTTTTCTTCTTTTGTCATTTCGTCATTCGGTTTGTATAGGATTGCTTGAAATGATTTCGTTGGTTTGTGTGCTACACCTATTCCAAAATGCCTCAACATTCTTTGTAATTTCTGATATGCCTTTTATATATGGCAGGATGTTAATCGTTTGTTGGCTTCCGTACCAATGCTGATTTATCTTAAAACAGTGCTGTTCATTAGACTAGACATAAAATATTTAACTCCTTTCAAATGTGAATATCTTTTTACCTAAATTAAAAACAAAGAACTGACAAGGACTCTGGTATAGTTCTACTGGAAAAAGAAAATCTCAACTCTATAACTTACTAAAATCTCCACAAAACCCCTTCTGACAATGATCATGTGCTCACTAGTGACTGACTCCTTGAGGTATTTCCTGGAGTTCTAGTGAGAAGCAGTAACCGGTGGAGTTCAACCAGGTCTGTTGTGAGATAGTAACTCACTGATGACATTGGTGAATGGTTGCTCAATTTCGTGAATCATTTGAAGTTAGACATTAACACCGTTGGATGCCAGCTCAGTGGTCTATTGGTTAAGGGCTTCGGCTCGAGACTGGTAGATCCTGGGTTCGAATCCCGCGAGAGTGAGTTCGTGGATGCGCACTGCTGAGGAGTCCCATAATAGGACGAAACGGCCGTCCAGTGCTTCCAGGTTTTCCATGGTGGTCTAGCTTCAATTGACTCACGATCTCAACTCTATAACTTACTAAAATTATATTCATAAATTTAAGATTGTTCATCAAGATTTCTGATTGGCAGGGATAAGAATGTTACAAAGAAATTAAGACTCACAAGAAATTTACTAACAGTATCGTATAAAGCGTCGAGGATCCACACTGGTTTATTTACATGGTCTTGTAAAAATACACAAACCTCTATATTCATAGTAAATATATTTTTGTTATATTCCAACGATTAGAAAACTTTATTCCCGACGTTTGATAAATTAATGTAAGCCACTTCTTCTGATTAAAGAAATAACCGAAATGAAACTAACACAAGTTTTTTTGACACAACCTATAAACACACAGTTTCAACTTAACTACTTCATATTACAAATGTATAAATCTCTCATACCCACCTTTTAATGCACAAATTATTACAGTGACAGGTCATTCAAAAATAGCTTGAAAGTGACATGTTCAAACCCATAATGATTTTGATTGATTTGAAAATATTCTACACTGTTTCCTTTATACGATTTAAACTTGTGTTGGCTTTATTTCGGTTATTTCTTTACTCTGAAGAAATGGCTTACATTAAGTCACGAAACGTCTGAAATACATTCCTCAACTCATTGGGATATAAAAAAATATATTACCAACTTTCTATCCAATGCTGAATTTTTTTGAAACTATCAAGTCCAACCTTGGCATTGATATATACAAATTCTACTTCGTTCGTTGTTTTTGTTTTTGTCGAATGTTTTGTGACAGCTCGAAGCAAAACTGATGTGTCAGCGGTGTGACTTGAACTAGATGACGATATTTACTACTGGTACTACAGTATACTAAGACTGAATTAACCTCTACCTGCTATTTATTACAACGGAACAAAACTGTTATGCTGATGAAAGAAAGAAAGCAATACTTTATAAAAAGACTAATTTATTCACCAACTACTAAATAAACGACATCTTCAATATTTGTCGATGAGGAAAATTGCATGAAATACCTTTTTAATTAAGCGTTTTTCTTTCTGCATATTATTAAGTGAATTTACTTCGAAACTTAGCTCGTTTAGGTGAAACATTTATACTTACAAAATGAGAATAACAGATCGTGTGATTTCGGATAAAAAACTATTCGATCAGCTGATAAAATAGTTTAACTATTTGCATTCGTGAGTAAAATATCTATTTTTTACAAAATCCAGATGAATTTATACATGGACAGTCAGTATATATATGGTATGCCAACCTGCTTGAACATCTGGGTTACAGGTTACAAAAGGCCTAGTCAGAGATATCGTGGTTGCTGGCAATATACAGCGAAAAGAATGTACATTATTTAGATATCGATTTATTGGACTGCTAACATCTAAATGGTGACCACTTAATATTTATCATCAGCATCAACCAAGAAGTAAGAAACATAAACATGTTGAAATAATTTGTGCTGAGAATTCTATATTGTACTAAAAATAAAATATCGAATAAAACTAATAATATTCAAACTTCTTCATCAGCGGTTACCATCACTATTCGAGCTTAGATCACCAGACAAATGAGTAGGCGCAACCATAAACCATGCTTATAGTTAAGTACAAACATCCTTCGTAGATTAAATTATAGTTTTACATTGCAATCACATTTTAGACTCGTCTTTGTAACAGTGTACATCAGTATTTATGCTTTAATGAAACTGAGTAAGATATGTATCGGCAGTTAGGTAACTGATAGGCTTTCAGATTATTGACTGAGATTAATATTCCTTTACTGGGCTTGGGATGTTTCGGAAATGAACACTTTAGATGATGTATTTTAGGATTAAAAAAAATAGTTCTCCAGTACTGAAATTATATTTGATGAAGAATGAAAATTATTAGAATTAAAAACCAAGCATTCAGCATTCTTAATTTT